GGCATCCTCAGATTCCCCTGTTAGAGCCCAGCAACTCTTCGTAGACTGCTTGAATATGAATTCTGATCATATTCTTTCCATCCATCCAAGACACCTCTTTGGAGGCCCCTCTGAGCTGTTGGCCTTTTCCTAGGACCTTAGCAAGACTGACTGGGTTGGTGTGACCAGGGATGGGTGAGCTCCACTGGGTCCTCCAGGGTACAGGAACTACTTTGACCCTGCTCTTGTCTCTTACCTTGAACAATCATAGAATCATTTGGGTTGGAAGGGAACTTTAAAGGTTCCCTTTAAACATAGTCACATAGTCCAACCCCCTTGCAATGAGCAGGGACATCTTCAACTAGATCAGATTGCTCAGATCCACATCCAACCTGACCTTGCAGGGATGGAGCATCTACCACCTCTATGGACAACCTGTGCCAGTGCTCCATCACCCTCATTGTAAAGGTGTCTTCTTTATACCTAGTCTGAATCTCCCCTCTTTAAGTTTAAAACCATCACCCATTGTCCTCCTGCTGTGCAGGCTGTGCTGGCCCTTCATTTTGACTCTGAATGCTTCATCACTGGACTTCAGTCTCACCAGCCTTCCTGGGTGGCCCAACACACCATTTTATCTGGATGAGTAACGTCAAGAAGGCTCACTTCAACCCGGGCCTGAAGAACATCTGATCATTCCATCTCCTTTTCTTGGACTGCTGCACAGACTTAGAGTGCTGGGGCCTTTTACTAGCAAAGGAAGTGGAAATCCAGGATTTCAGTTTATATCAGGTCCAGACTGGGGTCTAGGTTGGAAAATCCACCATAGCATGGTGAAGGTGGCTGTGCTCACACTGCAGTTCAAAGCACCCCTCACAAAGCTGTTGTGGTGACAGGCAGGCCCTGATGTCTTGTAGTTCAAGACTGCAAGATGTCCTTCAGGTCCTCTAGAGACTCCTGCTGATGTTTCTCACTTTTACCTCTACCCATCTCACATGAGGGCCCACAGGCCACTGGATTCCTCAGCAGTGTCACCCTGCTCTGGCCAAGCTTCTGTCCATTGTGCAAGAGGGTAGATGTAGCTGCTACCTACCGCTAGAGGCGATTGTGGACCCAGCTACTAGACCTTGATCCTATTGTCTCTCCAGGTAAGACTATGCTAGGGAGCCATCACCAGCTACTTGGATCCCATCAGGGAGCAGCGAACATTTCCAAAGGAGTTTCATCAGGTTCCTTTCTGCCTTTTTTCTTCCCAGTTTTGCATATTTCTGATGCTTTGATATGTCCCTTGCTTTCATTTCTGCCATCTCTGTAATTTGAGTTTTCTTTTGATCCACTTCCCAATTTTCCCATTTTTCTGTTTAGATTTTCCAGTTTGGCTCATGCCCAGCAGCGATGCTGTGCAAAGGCAGATTCCTTGGGCAAAGCACAAGAACAGAATGTGCACGTAGAGGCTCTCCTCCTGAAAAACGTCCCAGACACCAAGAATCTGCAGCTTAGGGACTTCCCCAGCCCAAGGTGGTGTTGATGGGTTTAGTAACACTGAGGGGTTTTTCTTCTCCCATAAATCTACTTGATTTCTCCTTAAATTGCATGCAAACATCTGGCTGCTGCGACAGGGTGTATCCTGCAGTCCCACAGCTCCCGGTGAGAGCATCTTGGCTGTGTGAAGAGTGCCATCCAGGGCATTTTGGGGTTGGTTTTGTTATTTTTAAAGCCACCAGCTGGCTTGGTTTAATGCCCCAATAGCTGTAAGTTCTTGTCCACCCTCTATCAGCCACTTGGTCTGGAAGATCCCTATTGTATCCCCATCAGTGGTCTCTTTTCCAAAGTGAAGTACCCCAGCTCACTCAGTAGCTCCTTCTACAGATGCCCTTCTCTGTCTTCAATCAGTATTGCTGTAATTCTCCAACCCTTTCCTAGTTCTGTTGTACTCCTACCTGAGATGGGAGGAGGACTGGATCTCAGCTTAAAGTTCCATGAAATCACACTGCTTATAGACAACAGTTGCTGTTTCTTGCCATTCCTGCTGGCATAAGCTAAGGAAGAACATAAATCTTCCATAAGGGACCAGCTGAGTGTTAGTAAAGCAATGCTTGGGTTAAGATCAGAAGCAGTCGGTGCTCCAGAATATTACCTGTGGTGAGCTGAGGATTTATTTACTCCTTACCCTAAAGCTGATGGGAAAACCACTATTTTCCCTGGATATTGCAACCCAATGGGGCATGGGAGGAGAGATCTGTCTCATGATAGGAGGATGTCTACAGCGTAACTGTCTATATCTGAGCTAATTTCCCACTTTCTCTTTATGGACAATGAGTTTCCAATAGACAATAAGCATTTAATTGAGTACAGCCTTCTACAAAAATATCATCTCAAATCTGCACGGTCACAGTGGAGAGCAGGACATCAGGAATCACTGCAAGAGATCAAGACAGGAAACATATCTGGTATAGGTGCTATTCTGCTCTCCTCGTTGACAATGAAGGAGAATCAGAGCAGGGAAATGTGATGAAGATAACCAAAGGTGGTGAATGATGGCATTACTAAAGGAGGGCTACAGCTCTTCAGGTAGAAGTTCTGGGCTCTGTCAAAGGGATGAATGCAATTCTTACTCGGGCAGTTGCCAAGCTGCCCATGGCTGTGATTCCTAACCACAGGCAGGGATCACTCACTACTTGAGCAGTCCAGGCACACTGAACTGGACTGGAGTTAGGATGTTTGGTGCGGTCCAGGTAAGCCCACTGACACTGCTGTGAGAGAGGAGTTCTTTGGTTCTCTTGAATCCCTTAAAATATCTTTCCTCCAAAATCTTACAATATATGTCTTTTTCTTGTGAATCAAATAAAGTTGGGTGCAATTCAGTGAAAAGCTCCTTGAAATGCCATAGATAAAGACTATGTAAACTATGGGTGTGAAATAATGTAGATACTTGCCCAAATGGCTATAGGAGAGTGAACAGAGCAAAAAGCAGTTGACCCAGAAAACTATTTGGTTGAGCAGAAATACGGCCATTGTGGCAAATGCCCCTAAAAGTGTTTTCAAAACAGCACAGATCAAATCAGCTCTGAAATAAATGAATGTAACTAGAGCGAGACCTACAACGTCAAGTCCTGAAGCATCCCTACCAGGAACTGGGGTAACGCAACATGCCAGGACAGAAAACAATTCTTCTTTTTCCAGTTTTTTATGGGTTTCATTGGCTTATGAACTCCATGGCGAAGCCTAATCCTGGGCCTTGCACTGTGCAGTGGAACAAGCAGAGCTGTTAAACACTCTTCTCACCATACAGGTCTCAAGTGCCCTTGCTGCTCTCCTATTTTCAACTACTTTCCCTTTCACTGATGTATTAAGCTCTGCTCCTTCAAGGTCCTCAACAGATCCGAGCCTCAGCCCTGCCTCTGGCAAAGCATTTCCCACTCTTGCTGTCAGCACGAAGCATTACTTGACCCATGCGCTAAGGCACCCATATCCCTGCTTCATGGCTTGTTTCATGCCCACCTCTACAACCAACTTGTCTTGGTCAGCATCTCTCCTGACACCTTCCTCTCTGCTTCAGACACCAGGGAAAAGGCCCTGCTACAGTGGCTCCCCAATAAGCCAAGAAGGAAGAGAGGTCTGGGGTCAAGACGACCGCTCCTGTTGTCCCCTGTGCTGAAGGCTTAATGCCCTTGTAGCAGGGTTGTGCAGGCAGGAGGTGGGACAGCTCAGCTCCACCATCCAGGCAGGTTATAGAGATGCCCTACCCTGGGAAAGTGCCATGTGTAGGCAAATAAGAAGCAGCAGCCCAAGCACACCCTGGAGACCAACACTGGTGTCGGTAACAGAGAACAGGTCTCAGTGTTCCCTCCCCATCATGAGACATTTGAGGATGCAGCTGCAGGGATGGGAGCCCTTACAGGTCCAGTTGGAGTTCCCTAAGTGTGACTGGGAAGTGCTGCGTTTCACAACCTTGCACACACCTCTACACTGTTTGCAAGGCAAACCTTATGAAGGAGGGTGTGAAAGGCAGCAGTGCACCACCAGCTCAGCAAAACTGCCGTTCTCACTTACTGCTTGGGCGGATTGGCTTCATTGGCTACCTGCCTATCTGGAGCCCTACCACGTACGTGTCTCCATAGTCCTCTGATTTTATGGGAGTGTTTTCAGAACACGGGGATTAAACCTCCCTAACATTTGTCTCAATGGACACTGGGTTCTGGTTATTTGTTGCCGAGTTCCTCTGTGAAAGTGCGTAATTGCATTTGAGAGGATCAGGCTCGGCATTAAATAGTGCCTACCCTGCAGGGTCGTGCATCCGTAAGACAAATGCCCAGAAAGGTGTGGACATCTGCATCCTTGGAGGTCTTATAGGACAAAGACACAACCATCCTTGTCTAGGTTTGACAGCAACTGCCTAGGGACAGGAGGATGGTCTAGAGACCTCCAGAGGGTCCTTCCCACCGACTTTTCTATGAGATGTCTGCTTGTGCAATGCATGTTTGGTTATATATGTCTGTGAGAGCATGCTCTGTGCATGGGATCTCCCTGGTATGTCCATGAACATTAGAGCAGTGAGCCTAGGCAGAAGCAGAAATAGGTCAGGTGTGTGCTGGGTGCCCAGGCACCGCAGGTGCCTCCTTAGTTTTTTCCTTAACCCACCGGTTTAGCTGTATAACCGGGTGCCCGCAGCTGTCAAAGGCGGCAGTAAACTTTGGCAGCAGGATATTCCCTATATACTGTTCCATATGGCACCGTCGAGCATCCCGAAGCTGCCACGGGGACTGCCAATGCTTGTCCCCCGCGCCCCGCAAGGATGGAGGGACCTGGTGGGGCGCGACCCAGCACGGAGACCCTGAGGGCTCTGGGGGCCAGCGGGTCCTCAGGGAGCCCCGGGGGTGCCCGGCGGCTGTGGGACGAGACGGGACGGGAGGAGGGGGCCGCCCCGCCTCCCGCTTAAAGAGCCGCGGCGCCGGGCGGCCGCGCAGTGAGCTGCGGAACGGCACCGCCCGGCACCATGCCCTGCGCCTTCGGCCGCATCCTCATCATCAGCATCATCCTCCTCCTTCCGCCACCCACCGCCGCCTACTTCGGGTCAGCACCGCCCGCGGGGATCGGCCCCTGGCGCCGCCTCCGCGCAGGGACCCGGGGAGAGAGCGCGGAGGGTCCGCGGGACAGTGCAGGGATGGGGGGGGGGGGAACGCGGAGGGTCCGCGGGACAGTGCAGGGATGGGGAGGGAGCGCGGAGGGTCGGGGGATGCTGTGCTGCTCCGCGGCTGCTGCGCCCTTGCGCGGGTGCCTGTGAGCGGGGTCCGGCGGGGAGCTGTGGAGTTTGAAAGGGCTGGGAGAAAGGGTGCTGGGTGTGAGCGCCGCGGAGAAACGGGACAAGGAAAGGCCAACGTGTGGGCAGCGGAACGCAGGGACGGGCTGGAAGATGCTGGGAGCAACCGGGATCAAAACTTGCTTGCTTGAAGCGCGCTCCGTTTCTGTTCAGGATGCGAATTAGCCCCGGCTGGTTGCAGGCTGTGACACCCCGCTCCAGGCTGCTTCCCTGGAGGGAAGAAGGTGGGAGGAGGGAGGCCGGGCTCAGCAGAGAGGTCTGGGTGACATGTGGGTGCTGCGGGGCTCAAAGCCAGCCCAGGGCCAGAGGGTGCGCTGGGGCGCAGGGAGGCAGAACTGATGCTTCAGCCTGGATAGGGTGCAGGATAAACCTGGGCACGACCGCTCCTGGGTGCGTGTCCTCCCCTCACATTTCAGGTTGTTTGGGTTAAAGGCAAAGGTGGGGTTTTAATAGGTTGGGTCAATGCAGAACTTCCCGTGGAGACGGGTTTTGGTTTGTTTTCTCAGTCAGCTGCTTCTCAGGGAGGTTTTTCAGACTCTCTTGTGCTAAGTAGGGCTGTTAGTGCTCATCTCCCAGGGAGTGTAGGGGAGCTGCAAATACCCATGCATTCAGACACTGCTGTGAGTGATGGTAACACCCAAGACAGATCTGAAGGGTCTTGGTCCCTCCCTACTGATCCTCCCATCAGGTGCCAGACACCTCTTACATTTGCTGGCAAGTATCTGTAGGCTTACATAGGGCAATGATTGGTATTTCATTTCTGCTGCAAAGCTTCCTTAAACCAGATGGATTTTAAGTTAATTAATTGTATTGTTTAGCCTAACTCGTATCTAAGCACCTGCTGCCAGGGGAGGACCCTACCTTTCTTGGTCATTCATGGTGTGTATGTACACATGCTCTACAAAGGAGCTGGCTTGTGGTGAGTGTTTGGCTTTCCAGCTACAGGGACACGTGCGCAGGGTTGTAGTTAGTGGAAGTGAATGTCTCTGTGCCCTCCTCTCAGATAACTAACACAAAGTGGTCCCTGACTATTGCTCAAGCTCTTAAAGCAACCTGACTGATTCTTCATCTTGTGACAAGGATGTGTTTGATAGGAGCTGCTTCCTGGGCATGAAATCTGGCTGTGCTGCCTCTTGATGGTGCCTAGCTCAGGATCTGAGGCTGCAGTTCCACTTCTGAAAGGTGTTTTCCTTGAGGGGTTTGTCACAGGGCTGCCCTGCGTATTCTCACCTCTCCACTGAAAAATCACAAGGAAACCGAAGTCTAAGAACTCATTGGGTGCTTGGTGGTGATGAATAATGTGATCCATGGGTGCTTACTTTGAGCCCATAGACATAGAGGAACTCCAGTATCCAGAAGTCCTGATGTGAATGCCTGATACAGCTTAGTTTGGAAGTATCTCGCATCTAAATTACTACTGAATTAGAGGGGACCTTAGGCCCTGGTGCAGCAGTTCACCTCTAAGTTCTGCCGAATAGGAGAGACTTATGCACAGGAGCCAGATCTTTGCTTTCCAAACACTTAACTGAGGAAACCTCTGAAGATCTAATAAAAGGTGCAGGAGGCTTTTGGGTGCCAATCTGCAAAGAGAGGACCTGAGCCCTTTCTGTTGCATACAGTGGCTTTGGCAAAGGTGAGATACTGCTGTTTGAAAGTAGTGAAAATGCCAAGTTCGATTCCATCAGGACCAAGGTAAGGCAAGGAGAGCCCAGGGTAGTCCAGCAGAAACGGTCCAAGGGCCGAGCAAGGATGAAGATGATCTATAAATATACAGAATTAAGCCTTGCCATACTTAACACAGCCTTACACTGGTGGCAGCTGTGGGCAGACCTTGGAAGAGCACATTCCCATCACCTGGGGTTGTTAGCTATCTGATGTCAGTGCACTGGCTATGCTTGAGCAGACCTTGAACTGCCAATGCTGGCTCCACAGAGGGGTACATTGGAGCCTACAGGAGAGGGGGAGAAAATAAGCTTTGCATGAAGTGTGGTCCGGCTGTTGTTCAGGTGGTGTTGGGCTTGCCTGGCTCGTTAGATGCAGGACCCCAGGGGTGGCTGTCTCCCTGGTACACAGGCAGTGTACCCCTCTTGACTTCCTTCGTGCTTGCTTTGTTTCCACCTTTGCTTCAGTCTCCCCCATGCTGCAGCCCCTCTAAGGTATTCCCTCCTCATCCTAGCAGTGCTTTTGCTTTCAGGATCCTTGGGTGGGAATCTCTCTACACCTCACTGAAAGCTCTCAGCCTCCTGTTGCCTTCTTAGGGGCTGGGTTTCACGAAGTGGAAAGTAGTTTAGGTTGTGCTGGAGGGCAAAGAGCTCCTCAGAGGGTGTAAGAGGATCTCTTCCCAGAGTTAGGGCAGAATACAGAAGAGACCCAGCTCAGGTGGGATGTTGTTGGATGGGCGGGAGTCACAGACTTGGTTAAAGCCTTCTCCTGGAGAGACCTCCATGGAGCAGGCTGCAACATGTCTCATTCATGGCCCAGTCTGGCCTGTGCAATGTAGGCAGCCAGGTCTGCTGGAGCCTTCCTTTGTAACTCGTCATTGAGTACCTGTGGTAGGTACAGAGGCACCAGGCTTCCATGTGCTGTCTGCCTTCACAGCTCCTCTTAATTCAGCCTACCTGTGTCCTCTGGAGCTAGTTCTGCTCCGTGAAATTCAGTGACACAACTGTTGCTCATTTCATGATGGAAGGGGCCCTTAGAGAGTAAAAACAACACATGGTTTGCAGGTCTATTGAAGCTTAGTTCTGAAAAGAGCTTAATATGTTAAATGACATCTTAATGTAAATAAGGGTACCTTCAAAAATGCTGTCCTCACCTGTATGCCCCTGGTATACAAGATAGAAGGATATCCTTGCATCCTTCTGTCCACCCCCTGTATCCCCTAGAGGGATACCCCTGTATCCTTCTAGAGATGTTGAGTAAGCTTTGGGTTTCATCGTTAGCCCAGTTACCTACATTCCTATGTTTGCTTTGGTAGCTGTTATTGAAGCATGTCCCTGATGAACCTGCTACCAACAGGGTCTCTGCTGTCCAGTTCTGACCCTGGAAAGATTTCTGAAGGTGTTTCTGATAAAACAAGTACTTGTATTACTTCCAGGCTGAATAATCCTTCCTCCAAGTACAGTATATCAGGAGGGTTTGTTACAGCATCTTCCTTTGCATTCTCAGAGACACGCAATGCTGGGATGTTTAAAGAGTGTATTAACAGAAAGAGAGCAGAAATGGAGAAGGAAGGCAGCTTTCAGATGAGACTTGAAAAGACAGAGTCTGTAGTGATTGTCACAGCAGAGCCAATGTGTGGCTACAGATGCATTGAATAGGTAAAGGCTTTTCACAGATGCTTTTTGCTTATCTTCCATTCCCAGATCCTCTTTAGTCACTGTGTCAGGGTATCAGGCTTCCTATAAAATCGTCCCATTGAATGTGGAGTGTTTCATGTTAGGAGCGTGGCCAGCCCCAGAGTTAGACTGAGTTAGATCTCCCATGGAATGATCAACCAGACTGCTGTCCTGCTCTGGCTGTGCAGCAGCAGGCAAGGCACTGCCCTGAAATCAGGAGCTACATGGAGATGGTTCAGTGACTGAGGCAAGAGGGGGAAGGATATAAACCAAGGATGTCCAGTCTGTGGGGGCACAGAGCAGGTATGGGTGAAGAACCCAGTGCAGTTAGAGTGAACGGGTGCATACGCACTGATTGCAATAGTTCCCAGCTAAATCCTCGTGCCATACCTCTCGTCCCGAACCAGCCATCTCTTCCAATGGAAGAATTTTATATGCTGTTCCCTGTGGAGTTTAAGGAGAATTGGTTTTTTAAAAGGAGGCTATATCTGGATACATCATCTGCTGCTGTTCCCAAAAAGGGTTCACAGCAAGCAGAAAAGCTCCTTGCAAAGGATTCCAACTCGTAACCTCACGTAAACCTCACCTGAGATTTTAATTCAAGCCTTTTTTCTTTGTGAGGAGCAGAAAGCTTGACAGCAAACTTGGAGGGTCGCAGGTATAAAGAGGGTCTGGAATGACAACTCTGATGGAGAAAGGTAAAACACCTTTGAGAGCAATAGTTTATCCCAAGATGCTTCTTTGGGGATTTCTTCCACCTTCTCTGCAGACAGCAGGTGGTACAAAGCATGGAAGATCATTCCCTACAGTCAAGGCACTACAACACTGCTGCTGGCCATCCATTTGTCCAGGGATGAATATTGAGGATGAAATAATGTTGCTTCTGAAAGGATTAAAACTCTATTCCACTGAGTTGCCAGGGAGAAAGTAGAGCCGAGGACCTATTGTGCACTGCAGTGGCCTTGATTTGATCTGTCATTGTCCCATATTCTCTTTCACCTCTCCTGAATGCTTGTTGCAGTTATCTGTGGGGTGTAGATATTTCTGTGGAACATGAAAGGCCCATGAAATCAGATATGGAGGACTGTTGTGGCTCCCTTTGATTTTTCTCCTGACTTGGGAGAGGTAGAAAAGGCATATTTTTAGGGATTTTTAAGATCTTTCAGATCCAGAGGACACTGGGCATTGCACAGGAACAGGCTCTCATTAAAAGTTTCTTAAGCAGCTGGAATGTGGCTGGAAGGAGATTAAAGGAAATAGATGAATTTAGCAAAGTGCTTAGGCAGAAAAGGAGGGAGAAATAAAAGTTGGAGATCCTTATTGTTCTTTCAGATTGCTAGCAGGTGTGCATTAATTCAAAGAGTTTATTTTCTTTTTTTTGCCATACGATCTGTAGATAATAAACCCTAAATCATCTAAAATCAATGCGCAGTTTGCCTAACTGCAAATATCTGCATATTTTCTATTTAATCTCGTAAGAATGTTCTCATACTGTGATGCTGATCTGATCCCATGGTAGTTTTACCATAACAAAACACAGTTACAGTCAGAGTTTGCAAGGGTTTGCTTTTATGGGTAATCTTAGCTGTGCTTGTTGGGACTTTGAGAGTGGCTTCTGCTCCCAGCTTTGCCACTGGACCTTACAATCATTGAATAGTTTGGGTTGGAAAGGACCTTAAAATCATCCAGTTCCAACCCCCCTGCCATGGGCAGGAACACCTCACCCTAAGCCATGTCACCCAAGGCTCGATACAACCTGGCCTTGAACACTGTCAGGGATGGAGCATTCACAACTTCCCTGGGCAACCTATTCCAGTGCCTCAGCACCCTCACAGTAAGGAACTTCCTCCTTATGTCCAATCCAAACTTCCCCTGTTTAAGCAAACTTGGGCAACTCCTTTTATTTCTCTGCCTCCTGACCTAAATTGAAAGTTACCTGAGCCACTGGTTTTGAGAGCAGTGTCTGTGCGCTGATCTGATGGAATGAATCCCGATCTCTGTAGGAACTTGTTCCTAATTATGGAGGTGTGAGTGCATCTGGGGGTTGTAGGCTACTGCGAGAGTGAAGGCAGAAGTGTTGTGAGGTTAGATCAGCTGAATTGTGCTATAATCCCCATGCCTGGGTAGACTGGACGGACTACAGAGAGATCTAGACATCTAACTCGGAAATAGATGTTTAAAATATCAAGTATGTGGAGGACTAAAATTGCTTGCACCATGAAAGAGCCATGCTTTTACAAGGAGCCCGATAATGGTGCAGAGGTGAGGAATCTCACTTCCTACACTGCCTTTGGGAACTGCTTGTTTGGCATCGTACCAGCTTGCTACCTCATGTCCATCTCCAGCTGGCTGGGTTTGCTCAAGCACTGAAAGTGATGGGGAGTCGCTGCACCGCTGGTGGGGATGCCACAGCCAGGTGTCTTTGTGGATGTGCTTCAGAGATTGCTCCTGCTTGCATCCCTCCATATCCACCCTTCCTGCTCTGACTCCCACAGTCACTTTGAGGAGCAGCATAGCCCAGTTTGCCTGACTGAGAGAGAGGAACAAGAAGGAACTGGCTCATCCGTTTGTCCACATTGAAGTGCTTGTGGACTTGCAAAGAAAACAGCAGGGCTTGGAGGAGGGAAGGCGTAGTCTGAAAATGCTCATATTGGGGGTGAGATGTGTCCAAAAGTAGATTTTTTAGGATGTTTCCATTTCTCTGTTTATTTTCTGGGTGGGGGTTGAGGCACTCTCCAATTCTTACCTGTTTGGTAATAAGGAGAGGCACTCCTGATCAGTTTGTGCAAATGCAGGACTGTTCCCAGGTTGTTTGCATCAGAGTAAATTAATTTCTCTGTGTTTTCAAGCAGCCCAAAGATATTAAGGGAGATAAATTTTGCAAGGGACGGACTCTTCACTCTTGCTGTGAAGAGTGAAACCATTTGTCTCAAGTTTGTGACATTTTTCAGCTGAATTACATATAAATACATACACGTGCTTTGCTGTGGCATTTGGAAACACATTTTTAGTTGAGCTTTCCTTTATTTTCTTCAGTACTAAAATGTTTTCCAGCAAAAGATGTGTTTTCCCTAGAAAGGTGGTCATTGATCATGTCTCCTTCTTGGTCTTAGAATCATAGAACAGTTCGGGTTGGAAAGGACAGGGACACCTCACACTAAACCATGGCACCCAAGGCTCTGTCCAACCTGGCCTTGAACACCACCAGGGATGGAGCATTCACAACCTCCCTGGGCAACCCATTCCAGTGCCTCAGCACTCTCAGAGTAACTTCTTCCTTATATCTAACCTAAACTTCCCCTGTTTAAGTTTGAACCCATTACCCCTTGTCCTATCACTACAGTCCCTACTGAAGTCTTCTGTAGCTGTGTCTAGTAGCATGGTACCGGTGCCCACCAAACCCTGGAAGGACGTGGTTCATGCTTTAAGGAGTTAGCACAGAGGTGTAGCACTACTGAATAAACCAAATCTCTGTATGAGACAGTGAATGTACTGAGAAGGGAGCAAAGCTGCAGGGTGTGAACGTGTCCTCTTCATGGAGTCAAGGAAACTTCCCACCAGAGGTTGCTGGTGACAACACAAGTGCATTTTCTCTTTCTCCCCACAGTGTTAATCTTTGGCTTGGTGTGTGGTGGAGACGGGATAGTAGATCTAGTCAATCTGTATTGGTTAATCTTCTGGTAAAAAGAACCCTGAACATCAGCTTTCTGAATGTCCTTCCCTCCCATCACCTTTTTCCTTCTAGGATTGCCGTCCTCCATCACTCACTGCCTTTTCTGCTTCCTTTCAGCTTGACCGGGAAAGAAGCTCTGACCCACTTCCCATCCCTGGGACCCTCCACAAACGCTGCCCAGGGGAAGGTGCACATGAAGCAGTGTGACTTGCTGAAGCTGTCCCGCAAGCAGAAGAGGCTGTGCCGGAGGGAGCCTGGCTTGGCAGAGACCTTGCGGGATGCCATCCGGCTCGGAGTCATGGAGTGCCAGTACCAGTTCCGCAGTGAGCGCTGGAACTGCAGCCTGGAGGGACGGACCAGCCTGCTGAAGCGAGGTACAAGGTAGTCTTTTGTTTGCAGTATAAAATCCCACTTGGTTCTGTAGCCCCTGGAATATACATATTGCTGAGCCTGGAGAAGAGAAGGCTCCTTAAGGGGAGACCTCAGAGCAGCTCCAGTGCCTCAAGGGGCTGCAGGAAACCTGGAGAGAGGCTTGGGACAAGGGCCTGTAGGGACAGGTCAAGGGGAATGGCTTGAACCTGCCAGAGGGGAGACTGAGATGAGCTCTTAGGCAGAAGCTCTTCCCTGTGAGGGTGCTGAGGCGCTGGCACAGGGTGCCCAGAGAAGCTGTGGCTGCCCCATCCCTGGCAGTGTTCAAGGCCAGGTTGGATACAGGGGCTTGGAGCAAGCTGCTCCAGGGGAAGGGGTCCCTGCCCGTGGCAGGGGTTGGAGCTGGAGGAGCTTTGAGGTCCCTCCAACCCAAAGGAGGCTGGGATCCTATGATCTCAAATTAAGCAAAGTGGGGCAGAAACCAGGGAGTGCAGAGCATCTGTTTTTCCTAAGAATGGCAGCTGTACAGTTTGGGCCCTTTGGTAACAAAATAGGTCTCCTCATCTTTCCTGCACAGTTTATCACAGATTGAAAAGTAAAAGGAAATTCACAGCCTTGGCTTGTGGATTTTGTTCCGAGGGTAGAGTTTCCTAGACTTGCCATCTTCCTGGGTTGTCAAATGTGGATGAAACTGAAAAAATAAGGGTTCATGCTTTACGTCAAGGGTCATTTTAAGAGAAGACTCTTTTTAGCTCTTAGGATATCACTGTGTGTAAATCTTTGCTGTTCTCAGATACAGAATTTAATGCTAATTTTCTGTTAGAAAAAGCTGTTTATCAGCATTGAGGCATTTCAGTGCATGTTGACAAATATCTCCTAAGACTCTTTCACACTGATTTGGAGTTTGTGCAGTTCAGCCAGACTGGGCAGAAAATACACTGGCTTCTCTTCACCAAATGCTTTAGAGGATGAAAATGTCCTATAAATTCTCTATTTGAGGTAGGAGGGAGCATAATAAATCCTTCAAATTGCGAGAACTTGAGAAAAATGGAATGAAGACAGACCCCGAAATTTCCTGATACAAGCTCCCAGAGCATGCAGATGCACTTTGTTAAACCTGTCTGCAGCCAAGCAGCGCCTGGCTGCCTCTTACCGTTTCTGCTCTTCATTAATGCTTAGTAGCATTTACTGTTACAGTCTTCAGTACTAATGGAGTTTCAGACCTTTGATAATGTTTAGCAGCTTAGGTTTTTCAAAAAGGGGCTGAATAAGCCACTATTAACTTTGATGAAATGAAAACGTTAATTTTAATTAGCAGTGGGATCGCAACTTTTTAACATTTCCATTTAAAATTATCAGATTTTCTTAAATTCTACATTTATATTTTAGTAAACCAGCACATACAACATCAAATTTACCTCATTGCAGGGCTCTATTGTGGCTTTTTTAGTGCACTGTGGAAGAAGCAGTTTGCGATCATGTTGAGTGTCTTTCTGACATCTGTACCTTCATCAACCTCAAAGAACTTGAAAATGACAATTGAATAATCCTCATCTTCAAATAGCTGGAAAACATTTCATTATCTCCTGGTGGCATGCCTTAACATTTCCAGGGACTCCTGACTGACAAAAATAAAATATCACCTGTAATTTAAAACCTGTTTTGGCAGATGAGGAGAAGGGTTTGAAAACTTTTATTACACAATCTTAAGGATCAAATGATGATTTAATACAGAAAAGTATGCTGTGTGCATTTCCTATATGAGAGGGCAGTTGGCTGGAAGCAATTATTAGCTCTCGTTTTCCATTACCTTGCAAACAGGCTGGTTTCACAAAGAACATGAACGCTTTCAGCTAACACTTTTGATCTGGTCCTCACGTATTCCTACTGCTGTCTTGCTGCTGCCTTGAAAATTGTTGGTCGGACAATGGGCTATGCTCCTTTCACACAAAGAGTGATGGGGACTTTTAAAAATGATTAAATCATGCTATATTGCCATGGTGTTGGAGAAAGCGTGAGGAAAACCACACACTTTTTAAGTGTCTTTGGTTCTATGAGGGCAAGAGGGGAAAAAAATCATGCTCAGTGAGATGGTTCATTTTTGTAGTAGGTGAAAACTTAACTTACAGTCACAGCTGAAGCACTAGCATATCTGATTCGGATCACAAATGCTTTTCCTGCTTCTAGAGATGCCACCATCTTTTTTTCTCCTATTTAAATCTTTCTAGTAAGAAACAAAGAAAAAAAGCCAGACTTTCTGGGTTTTGAAATGCCAGCTTTGTTATTTTCACATTTCTTGTTTTATACTGACACTCCTCTAGATACAATTGGAAAGTCCTTTTCCATAACCTACAATCCTTCTGTGACCGAAGGGTATTACTCTTCACTGATTCATGCAAAATTGCCCCGTGCTCCTTCTCCACTGCTTTAAAAATCCATGGAAATAGTTAGATTTAAATGTATTCTGGAGACACATTTCATCTTGTTGCACAATGGTGGCTGGTGTCTTTATAAAAAGAAATGGTGAATTTTTGTTTCCAAGGTGTATCAGAAAGGCAGTCGATTGCTGTTAGAGTCAGGTAAGAAGTATTTCATCTCAAACAACATGGACATTTGGGGGAAATAAATACCTATAATAAAGACAGCTCAAATCCAGCCACTCAGAAAAAGTCTTTCTGGAGAGATGAGCAATCTTTCCATGCATTAATCCATTTCTTCCCTTCACGTTGGTTATTCTTTGACCTTCAAGCAGTGATTTCTTTGATGTGATGAAGAATCTAGGAGTGGTACAAAGCAGGGTCACTGACACAGAGATGGAGAGCTTCCAATCGTGGAGATTTTGAGAACTCAGCTGGACACAGCCCTGAGCAACTTTGGCATTGGAGTTAGCCCTGCTTTGAGCAGGAGGTGGTACCAAAGACCTTGAGAAGGCCTCTGGGCTCCCCTGTTTTGCTTGGTTGGGTTTGGATTTTTGTTCCTATTTCTCTTCTTTTTTTTCTTCTTTTTTTTCTTCCCCAGAGATGTCTCTTCCACTTGGTCTGAAATGCTCACACAGTCTTTAGTGTAGCATTGTAAAATCTTTGCCCTTGAGCATCTTCCTTTGGCAGAACCACCATATGGCTAAGCTCCTTCTATTCTAGTTTTCCTTGTGGTCTAGATCACACCACACCACAGAACAGTGTCTTGCCATTGCAGCAAACATCCTTCTGTATTTATAGGCAGCTGAGCTAAGAAATAATTCCAGAGAGCTCAGGGGAAGAGTTGGACATGTGCAAGGTCCTACCAGAGGGAGCTGGTTTGCTTCAGCATCTTGAAATTCAACTCTGATGGACGTTTGTGACCAAAGTGCCCAGGAAAGTCATCTGCATTTGGATGCTCTCCCCTTGCACTGAGTGTTTAGGATTTCATTTGGTCACTATCAACACAGTCAATGGGGTCAGGAGAGTGACTCATCCCTAAAACAGACCCTGAGAGCCTGGGAATCCACTCCAGGCTCCACTGGCTGTGGTGGCAAGATCTCCACTGACATAGTGGGTGGATAGATACGCAGGACTCATGGAGAAACCTCTATTTAGATCCTCTCAAACCATGCTTGTTGAAGCTGATTGCTGCTCATTTGTGCTACGTCCCACTAAAAATCCAGCTTCAATAGCTGCTCTGCTGCTCACTGTTACCCCACAAGGACCGTTCAGTGTTTCCTTTACTCATGTGGCTTGTGAATTAAACAATTAAATGGTGACCAATCCCTTATGAAAAAGTAGAAGGAATCATCTTAGACTTTTCAGACAAGCATTTGGCAGCCTGGTGACATTGACCCTTTGCCATAAAAGGAGGTTTGGTGGGAGGAGAAGAAGGAGACGATTTGGAAGTATGCTTGTTATCTTCAGTTACTGCTGTCTGCAGTGGCCTGACCACAAGCAGTGGTCTCTGATTTCAAGTGGGTTGAAACCTGACCAGCAATTACATGGAGTGCCACAGGAGAAACCAAACCATCACTGCTCAGAAATAGCAGAAGCAGTGTGGTATTCCACAAAGTCAGATTTAGCAGGGTATGTGGAGCTGACTGGTACTGCTAGCTTTATATGGTATGGGAAAGAGTTTCCAAAATGCTCTCCTCTCTTTTGGTATGATTTAGTGACATTTTTTCATTATTCCTCCAGTACCCCAGGAGATCTTATAGGGAATCATCAGCCAGAGAGCTTAGTTGCAAGTTACTTGCCCCAGTGACACAGCAACTAAAATGGTGAGGCAGGAAGCAGTTATATTGATCTCCTTGACCGCCACCTTTTCTTGACTCTCATCCACATCCATACTGTTGCTAGATCTTTCCTCTAAAACTCTGCAATTCCAAAGAGCTCCTGTGAAGTCTATTTTGAAGTTCCTAATGCAGCCTCTCCATCGTGTTCATGATTAGTCAATTTTTCATTCTTCTTACTGATAGCTATCAGAACTCTTTGTCCTGTTCTCTGCTCAGATTTATGGTGACCTCACTCAGATCTCAGCAGTCAGTGGTCTCATCTATTATTACAGCTGGATGGGAATTCTTTGAGGGAACAGAATGATGGAAAGATTTGATGTTGGACTGGATGAATTCTAGACGTGCCTTCCAACCTCTGCTCAGAGGGCTAACTCAAGACTAGATCAGATCTCTGTGGTTTCCCATGTGGAATTTTCCAATGTGGAATGTTCTTTTGCTTCAATGTGTTTTCTTCCCTGCAACATACATGCAGGAGAGTTGTCCTTCTTGCCCATGATATCCTTCAACATGGAACCTTTCCAGTCAAACTACAAGTGCTTTTTCCATACAAAATGTTACTGTGCTAGCACAGTCTCAATTACAAATATTTTAAATAACAGGTCAGATTTTTAACATATTTTTCAGTATCTTCTAAATATTTCCTGATTTTAAGCCCCAGCATGGTTTCAGTGTCTGTCTTCCCACCTATCAGCTCTGTGGTGAGCATGAGGACAAATGGAGTTTCATGACTGCTGCTTTTTGCAGTTGAATGTTCTCCCAAGACTATGTGGCTGTTGCCACCCATCCCTTCATTCATGAGTGGTCTCCTGTCATCATACTGAATCAGTCACAGCCACCAGGTGAGGCTACATCAGCTACTTCAAACATGATGTTCAGTTTCTCTGCTAGGCATGGTGTGCAGTTAACGGAAGAGTTTTGTCCCTTTGTGTTTCTAAGTCTTGTGCTTGATTTTAGCTCATGGACTAAGGAGGGCCGCTGGGGTGGATGAACACTTTATTTTGCCTTTTCTGCTCCTACCTTCTCCTAATGCTTCTCCTGTGCAGGTTTTAAGGAGACTGCCTTCCTCTACGCCGTATCCTCTGCTGCTCTCACCCACTCCTTGGCCAGAGCGTGCAGTGCTGGGCGCATGGAGCGCTGCACCTGCGATGACTCCCCAGACCTGGAGAATCGCAAGGCCTGGCAATGGGGAGTCTGTGGAGACAACCTCAAATACAGCACCAAGTTCCTGAAGAAGTTCTTGGGGCAGAAGAGGATTGGCAAAGACCTGCGGGCCAAGGTGGACATCCACAACACCAACGTCGGCATCAAGGTGAGGAGCCGCACTAGCAGGGCTAGAATGAAGTTAGGACTCGGTGCAAGTCTTCTAAGCCATCATCAGCTAAGGCTGTTTGTGAGAGGGCTATTCATGGCCCCTACTCACAAATCAGACCTGTCTACCTCTGTGTCATGGACCTTTCAACACTGAGAGCTTCCTGGAAAGACTTCTGTACTCTGGGGTGAGGAGTTGCATGTTGAGTGGTAGAGTAGCATCCTGTCTCCTCTAGTGGTATCAGGGGCTGAGTGACAGCAATGCACAGCACGGTAACAGCTGTAAAACTCAATGGCTGAGTTAATTCATGGACATAGGGAGTTTTGGGAAGAGCTAAAGCTTCGGAGATGGTGAAGTTGACACTCTTGAGACCAGGTCTGAGTTTAGTTTTTCCTCCATAAAATGGGAATAATAATAAATACTGAATAATACCAATAAAACTGAGGTACTTCCAGTCTGTCTGCAATCGGAGGTGTTGCCTCTACCCAGAACTAGGCTTATGGTCCTGGCAGATAATGACTACCCTTTCCATTCCTCATCAGGCTGTGAAAAATGGTCTCAAAACCACATGCAAGTGCCACGGTGTCTCTGGCTCATGTGCTGTCCGGACATGCTGGAAGCAGCTTTCTCCTTTCCATGAGATTGGGCGACTGCTGAAGCTGCGCTACGATGATGCCGTCAAGGTCTTCAGCACCACCAACGATGCTGTGGGACACTCGGAGCTGGCTGGCCCCCAGAGACACAGCCATTCGCCCAAGCACCCTGCTTCACCCCGCTCTACTGACCTGGTGTATGTGGAAGATTCCCCTAGTTTCTGTCGTCCCAGCAAATACTCCTTGGGAACTGCTGGGAGGACCTGCTCTCGGGAAGGCAACTGTGACAGCATGTGCTGTGGACGAGGCTATAACACCCAGAGCCGGCTGGTTACCTTCTCTTGCCACTGTCAAGTGCAGTGGTGTTGCTATGTTGAATGCCAGCAGTGCATGCAGGAAGAGGTTGTCTACAGCTGCAAGCAGTAAAGACAGTGCTAGAGGGTCAAGGCAAGTCCTAGAGCACAAGGAAGCAGTAGGGAGGGAGAGATGTGATTCTCTGCTGTGGGGTGAGGGCAAAGGCAAGCACCAAAAATGTCCAGTGCTCCTGTTATCTCAATGTTGAGATCCTCCAGTCTGGGGAGGACTCCTGTATGAGGGGTGAAAACCAGAGGTTTTGTGAGCTATCAGATCAGGAAGCAGGGTCAGAGAGTGGGGGTAACGTGGGGACAGCAGAAACACTGACGCAGTCAAAAATACCTCTCTTGAGCTAAAACTTGTACTCTGGTCTGCAGGAACATCCCCTCCTCCATCTCTAACTTGTGCTTATGTAAATGCATTGGGGTGGTGAAACTGAAATTCTGAGAGCTTGAATTAAGGGGCCACGGAAGGAACTAACCAGAGACTGGATCCTGATGTAGCAGAGCCAGCTGCGTTCCTGCACCAAGGCAAAATGACTCTGGCAGCAGAGATCTGCAGTGCTGTTCTCTGGCTGCTGGTTGAACCCTTTCTGCTTTGAACTCAAAGACTTGCTGTTGAGTAATCTCATCTCGATGCAAGAATTATGCCTCAGAAATGCCAGTTTACAAACAAACGGAGCTCATGTCCATCATCTCCCAGGTCGAAGTTTGGATGTGAGACTCCAAGTGCGTGTTAACCACGTTTTAATCTTGCTGTACACAGGAGACCTGGAATTGCCTCTGTTACAGTGTATGTACTGCAGGAACTCAGACGAGGTCTGGGAAGTGACCCCTCTGACGCATGCTGCCCCGCAGGGAGTTATTTATGGTGGTGGATCCAGGGTGACGGTGCCAATTCTGCATCTTTCCCCCTCCCTCCCTTGGCTTGTCCCAGCCAAAACTTTTGGTCTCATCACCTTTTTGTCTCGTGGGTACCACTCTGCCTGGTGCTCAAGGTGCATCCCATCCCACAGTTCTGCCCTGTGCTAATGACGGGGAACATTTCTGAAAGGGAATAAGGAACCACAGGAACTGGGACAGCTTATAAATTGCAAGTCACGAGTGAGAATCTCTGCACAGGGGAGTTAGATATATCGAGATAACGCAGGCACCTGGCAGGAGAGAAGGTGACCTGGGGGAAAAGAACACAGTCCATTACACAGATGTGATGCCCTGGCTTTGGGCTGTATTTACCTAGTTCACTTTCAACTGAACAAAACATAAGCAACCTGTTTTGTTTCTTTTGGCTGTGTCTTGTGAATGGCATTCACTGCCCAGCCACCAGGTACACACAGATTTGTGCAGCACAAACTGGGTGTTGAACTCTATTACAGTGCTTGGCAATGTATTTGCCTGCTCCAGAGCTTGTCCTGGTTAATCCTATAGCAGCAGTCAGAGTGCTTTTATTGTGAATAGCTCTGGAGTGCCTCTGAGATAAGAAAGCTGCTGTATTTACTTGATGCTGGTAATGGCTATAAACCAGCGAGCAGGATGCCTGTGTGGAGATGGGCTGGTGCTGGAAAGAATACTTAGATCCTTAAACTCAGACCAAAATTCATTGGCAATGTCATGGATGAAGATGCTGGTGTGGGTTGCTTAGATGGACTCATCCATAGGCTGAATTGGACAAGTTTTCAAGGTGATCAAGTTCTCCTAACGAGAGGTCAGATCTCGACTCCAGCTCTTGAGTGTGGATCTCCATTCATTTACTGTGCTTTGGACAATGACATTGCAGTGAGGAGTGTGAACTTATACTCTCTTTGTCTTCACCTTGTTGTCCTTTTGGGTTTTTTTTACAACTATTTTTGATTTCTGCTTCATAAAAGGATGGAGAAGAACTGTCTCAGAGCAGATCTAGCCATTAACTGGCTCTTTAGAGGCCACTACGACCTTCCCTTTGGCTACCTACAGGTCTTTTAATGGGCTTATTCCTTTTTATCCCGTTTCTGGCTCAAGTTAACTTGAACTGGATTAAAGTGCTTATGACAGGCATAGTACTGCAAATAGGGCTAATTGGCCTGATTTTTGTTCTACCTCCTAAATACCTAAGAACTTAATATTGAACAGACCATTATTTACATGTTGGCTTTAATCCTTTTAGAGTTGAAATCTTCCCATGAGTCTCAATGTTGAGCACTCAATGAAAAAGCATCCAAGTAAGTTAAAATTGGCATCATTGGTGACGTGACAAAGGAACTAGCTCTGCTCTACGCTTTTGATCCCAAGCCATACGGCTACTGCCTTGTTCCATCAGAGAGGATGGAAATAGCACACCATGGGAGGGATATCTGGGAATCCCATGCCATCGCACAGGGCATTCTCTTTTAATGAGGGACTGGGACTCAGTGGAAGGAGGGGGGAAGCACGGTGGATCCTCCAGTGGAGGAGACACCTCTTTGTCCTCTTGCTTTTCTCAAAGCTGCATGCGTCAGTAGTCCACTGGCCAGTAATTCCTGGGCATGCACAACCCGTTCTCCACACCCAGATGTTACAATCTGAGGGCAACTACAATGAATGCTCCTAGATGGTGGAAATTTCTCTTGATGGTCTCACATTTCAAAGTGAAGCTTTTTGGCTTGCTCAGACTCACTCTTCTGCACTAGTCCTGTAAAAAGCAGAGGAGAAAAGCACACAAGAACAGGCACGTCAGGGAAGTCTTTTAGTCTTCTCCAATGACCTGGTCCTGCACTGAGCATGGAAGGAAATATATGTTGCTAACAGCTTTCATTTCCTAGGAAAAGCATTTCAAATCTGTAGGCTAGTTCTCCAATCCACATGGCAAGAAGTATTATTCTAATAATACCCTTTATCTGGCTCCAAATGCTGCAGTGTTTAGAGCAGTAGGTAAATGCATGTCAGAGGCATGTTTTGTACAACAGACTCAAAACCAAGACCAGAAGGATGGTGAGATGATTATTTAGGCAGTGAGGAATATGGTCACACTAGTGGAACTTGCAGCTTTGGTTGTGTCTTTTGCAGCTGAAACAGTGATGCCAGTGGGAACTGAAGGACAGGTTTGTGGCAAGGGGACCAGACATCTTTATTTAGGCAGCTCAATGAAGCCCTTCCACTGTGGTTAATTTGGACTAAACTGATCCTTTGGCCCTCTTTCAGGCAAAGAAGGCACATTTAAAGCAGGATTAGGTACTGCTTTGCAGCACTTGAAAACGATCTTGGGTTATTTTGTGTGTAGCCCATGTCATATGGACTTTGAGGCAGCGTCCCCAGGTCCCTTACCACTGGTGTCTGTGAAATGTGAAGGGATCACCTCTAGTTAATGTTTCCTTGAGGAATCAAGACCAAGCATCCTCTTGAGCAAAGCTCTTCTGCCACCTCCTGGAAATATGGGATGTGAGGACCTGGACCTCCATTTGGTCTGTGTGTGAGCTGCATACTTACAAATCCAGTAGATGTGCTGCCTCTTGGTGCAAAGAAGTTACTGGAATGAGAGGCTGGAGATATAAAGGGATCCCACTTAAGCCTTTACATGGGAATCTTTCCAGCAGCAAAGGTGAAAGCTTCTGCCCTGGCTATAAAAGAATCCTTTCCCAAGTGCAAATGTATCTCAATGTGCCCAACAATGGTAAAAATCTGAGCTGCATATGCTTTCCTGTATAGTTTTCTGATTCAGAATGAAACCAGTCCTATGACGTACCTAAGATCCAAGTTATCTGAGAACAGTGATAGCTCTAATACTCCTAAACTGGCTGGGACCCTCACTATCCACACCAAGGCTACTCTGCAGACACGGGTTAGCCCCTGGCCTTGTGTGTACTTCCTAGGCTACTTTTTATTGCCTCTCCTGGTGTGTTGTGGTGCTGGGCTTGGTAGCAGTGGCTCCAGGATGCTTATTGCAAGAGGGAAATAGCAATCCATCAGGAAAGCTTTAGAGAAGTGTATGAAGTGCTGGTATGGAGGGGCCCCATCATCCCCAAATAAAGAGCTGAACCTGCTTGGGAAGGAATCACATATCTGAAGACTGCTGGGTGAAATGGTTCTACACCAGTATTCCTTGTGGTGTAAGCAGGGATCCACACAGCACTTATTTGCTGTGATGGAAGGGCAGTGCAATGCTGGTGTCAGGAGTGTTTTATTAGATCAACAGGTATGGCCATGGAAGCCAAGAAACGCTAATGAGCAGAGTAACAAACCCCACTTCGACACCTTGTGTAAGACTGGAAAGATGGTTTGTGACAACAGAATATGTCACTTGAAATCAAAATAAGGCTGGGCTTTAAGGGAAACAAAACATTTGTCTACCTCAAGATGTACAACTTTTGTGACAAGAAATATGGATGTTATTTATATATTTTTATATACCCTCTAGAGAGAAAATGGTGCTATGGGGTTTAAGTTGCATTACAGTCCTGCTTGTATGTTCTCCTCATTTTTATATAATCCTCTTGATTATAACGTGTATCTGTGTAGCTGGCTGTGTTGTCCAGTATTGCACTAGTGTCTGCACTGCTGGTGTTCTTGTCAGTCAATAAATACATAAAAAGTTGTCTTCTAAGAATGTAATTTCTGCCTTTCAAGGAACACCCCCTGGAAATAGCTTGGAATAACTCCACTCCTCCATTGCCACATTGACATTAGTCCTCTAGTTCTGCCTTACCTGCACCCTCTCCAGAAGACAAGGAGAAATGTCCGTTTTTGCCCACTCAGCAATAGGGGTTGAGCTCAGGTATGTCTGTGTTAAGGAGATGTGACACTAAGGGAGCCAAATCTCATAGAATCATAGAATAGTCAGGGTTGGAAAGGACCTTAAGATATCCAGTTCCAACCCTCTGCTATGGGCAGGGACACCCAGCCTGTAGCTGTGCCTGGGATTGCTCCCACCCAGGTGTAGGACCTTGCACTTGGCATGGTTAAACTTCATGAGGTTGACATCAGCCCACCTCACAAGTGTGTCGAGGTCCCTCTGGATGGCATTCCTTCCCTCCAGGGTATCAACTGAACCACACAGCTCGGTGTCATCAGCAGACTTGCTGAGGGCGTGCTCAATCCCACTGTCCATGTCAGTGATGAAGATGTTGAACAAGACCTGCATGACTCTTACTTCCAGCACATTGCCCCAAGGCTTTGATTAGGAACCTGAGTTGGCAGTGTTGGATGGTATCATCTCTGTCAGCTCCAAGCAAAGCTACCCATTCCTATTGGCATCCCATGTTAAACAGTACATTTTAAATATTAATGTCTACAGCTAAGATATTTTGGCAACTATAGCAGGTAGAAACTGCCCATCAAAATAGAAATTTAGGAAACTTTTGTATCCCTTTTGTTTGTGTATTGAGATATCCCATAGTTGTCTGTACTTACTGATACTCCTCATTTCCAATCAAGGTGTGTATTTTCCCCCTGAACTTACATTTCTCTGCTGTTGTTTAACCCAGTGTCACAAATGATTCCCAGAGCATTTTGGAGATTCTTCTTCTCCTGGTTAGTGGAATAGGAGGTCCGCCACCATTGATGCCTTGGATCTATCAGATGTTGATGATATTGTCAGTATCTGGTGGGAAAACATTTTGGATGCAGAAATAAGTCCCAAGACTACATGGGAAAGGTCCCTTACAAAAGGCATGTTAAAACTGCTCGGCTGCTAGCTCTGTTTTAGCAGCCTTGCAGAACCAAGATATAGTACCTACAGGGATGATTTTAACAGAATGAACAACAGGGCACTTAGATTTTGTCACCTTTGCTCTATCTGCTGCCAGCTGCTTTCCTGTATCATTGCAGGCAGCTGGGAATTGATATTTAGATGTCAGATCATGCGTTGAACTATAAGACATTTGCTTTAGTGCCAGGTGCAGTATCATCTGTAGAGGCATGCGTGTTCTCACATTTCAGCTGCTTCGCACCTTAATAGACCCCTGCTTATGTAGAGCAATTGTAGAGTCTGTGCAAAACCCTGCTCAACAGCTTTGTTGCATCCTCCTCTCCCCCCCACTCCCCAAAACACCTCACCAGATCCCAGCTATAACACTGCTCCAGGTGTTTGCTCCTGGGAGTTCTGCGGGTCTCCTCTCTCACGCTTACCAGTGTCGAGTTATCAGTTATCAGGCTGATGACCCAACTCCGTGTACGGGCAGGATGAAGAAGCTGACTAAGATTAGACTTAGGGCTGCTGAAACAACCCCAGAAGGAGGTCTTCCTGGATTCAGGTCCTACTTATTAAATCAGTGACCTTCTGAGTCACCTGCTGGCCCTTGGAAGGGCTCTGCTGTGAATTTAAGCTTGCCTGATCCTGTTATAGGTACAAATCCATACTTTCTAGTTGCTTCGACACCACCTTCTTGCCTGCTGCCTTACCCAATGTGCTGGCTTTCCTCCAATGTCCCTTACCTCACTTCGCTTTTGATTCACTTGCTTTTCCCTCTCCCATCCTTGATACAACCCAGATTCTTTCTCCTTCCCTCCGTGCTGCTCTTGCCAAACCCTACGTGGCTCTTCCATTTCTCCATCCCCTCTCATTTTTAGGAGGAAAGTTATTCATGGCATTGCACTGCCCCAGGCAAGCTCCAGTGCAAAAATACCTTGGGAGCATGGGGGCATGGCTGGGGTTAGCAGGGTAAGCAGGGCCAAATCCAGCCAAAGAGGCTGCACAACCATGCTGGTAAAGTACATTATATGTGGAAAGGGAGCACAGTTGTTGGTCCTCCAGCTCCCTGTGTGGCTACAGCTGTGGTTCATACCCACCTGTAGGGCATAGTCCCAGCTTTTGGGACTAGTGTTTGTCCTGAGAAGAGCTGTCAACAGGGTGTGAGTGGGAGTTCTCATACAATCACTCCAATTCCCATCAGAAAGTCACCTGGTCTGTAAGAACTGGGAGATGCCAACAGGTCCTTGTTCCCTTGAGTGTATCCCAGTTACAGCCCAAAATCAGGGGTCGTTTTGATTTTCCTCTCTTTTAATTCTGGGGTAATTTCTTCTGGTGGTTGATCATTTCACCCCTTCCTGACATATGCAGGTCTAGTAATGGAGGAAAGGGAAAAAGAGCAGCAACAAGCTCTTCCCTGTGAGGGTGCTGAGGCACTGGCACAGGGTGCCCAGAGAAGCTGTGGCTGCCCCATCCCTGGCAGTGTTCAAGGCCAGGTTGGACCCAGGGGCTTGGAGCAAGCTGCTCTAGTGGAAGGGGTCCCTGCCCGTGGCAGGGGTTGGAGCTGGATGGGCTTTAAGGTCTTTTCCAACACAAACCGCTCTGTGATTCTAAGAACATGACTAAGACCTGCAGCATCACCCAGCTTGAGCACAAGTGACCCG